TCCCCTATCAGTGGGGACTGCAATCTGAAGAGTCCCATCTCTTTGCATGACAGCACCATCTCCAGACTCATTGATGCTGTGTCCTTGGACAATGAGCAAGACACATGTGGCTCTATTTCTGCTCTGATTGGTCAATTTGAAAGAACTGTTGAACAGAATGATTCCCACACATCATCTCATGATCATACCCCTTTCCGCCAATCAAACGTCAGGCCTACCACCCCTAAAGATCTACGAGATGTAAGGTCTCCTCTGAATACAAGTACTGCATCTAATTACAGGAAACATCTAACAAGTCCCCAAAAAGTTGCTCAAAAAACAAATCATGAAATCCATTCACCACGTAAGATTTCCCAGGCTGTCCTGTCCAGCCCAGAGACTGCAGAGCTAGAGGATGTATACACCATTCTGGATGAGGAAGTGCTGTTGCCTGTATCGGTGTACAACCTTCACAAACAGACGGTCCATGTCCAGGCAGACGCTGGGGAAAGCACGTCCTCAAACAGCTTGGGTTCCTCTCCAGCGAAGGTGTTCCAGGGTTCAAGGAAAGGGCACAATGTGAGCTGGGAGGATATGAACAGAAAACGAGCTGGCAGTGAAAAAATTGAGGAGGCAGAGGAAAGTGTATACGAGGAAGTGTATGATCCCCCAGCACTAGCATTAGTACCAGAGAAAGAGCAGGGTACTTCTAAAAGGTACATAGGCTCCTCAGTAAACAACAACCAATTCCAGTTCCACCATGATTCAGCTGGGAATGCTTTTGCAGAAGTAGAGACAAATGTCGATGAGGATCCATTGGACATTATGACAAGAAATGGCAGCCAACGGGAGGGACTCATAAGTCCAACCAAAAGACAGGCTATTTATGAAAACCACGAGTCCACTCCAAACTATTACCAACAAAGGCAGCCTTCGTCACACCGCTATCCTCAACAGCAGTACCCCTCACATGCATTTTCACAGTGTCCTTCCCCAATGAATCAACCTTCCTATCATCACCAGAGCAACTCCCAGCTTCACAGACCCATCAACTGTAGAGCCTCCAATCCTAGTCCGCTGCGTCAGAACATCTTCCCAGTTTCTCAAAATAATTCTGATGCCTTTAACAACAGCAGAGACTTCAGCAGTTCCTCCAATCAACAGATGAGCTATAGTGGCAGCCAGATACCAAACCGGCCTCATCAAGATTGGCTAGGGTATAAACAGACGGAGATGGAGCGAGTAAGGCATACTTCTGAATGTCTCCCTGGCCAATCTGCCCTGTCTACAAACATCAGTAGAGACAGAGGCCTATATCTTCCTTCATCAGACTGTGATCCAGTGTACAGCCATCTGGACTATGACTGCATTACGCCCTCATCAGAGTCTTCTCAAAACACCCAGCCACACTGCCAAAGTCTACCACAATCATACACACCAACTCATTCATCGAGCCATAAGGTTTCGCTTGCTACTACAAAGAATCAGTCACAGCCTGAATCCAGACATTCTCTGCATTTAAATGTAGGCCATGTACCAACTCGACCCCAGTCTGGTACAATAGACCCCAAAGCTCCTAGCCCATGTAAGTCCAAGTCCCTGGGAGACCTGACCTCTGAAGACATATCATGCAACTTCCAGAGCAAATACCACATCATTAGCCGCAGTTTTATCACTCCAAATATGAGAAAGCAAAAGAGGGTGGGCGCCATGGGGGAAGTAACTTTCCAATCACAGTCTTGCGATCCACTCACAGAACAGCTGCGTAAACTGGTCAGTTTAGAAGTGGATGACTGTGACAGAGATATACCCCAACCTCCTCAGTTGTGTCAGGCAGCAAAACCCCCACTGTCACAGCCACAGGCAACCAGTGTAGCTCCTGTTGTTCCTAGGGATGTAGATGATTCACCTCCCCCCCTTACCCGGCGTCTATCTTCACGGAGCCAAAGCCGAGTGCGTCACATCAATAGTCGGGCTCGCGAAAGACAGCAAGAGGCTCTAAAGCCAAGGGCAGGTGTGATGATCAATAGTACCTCCAGCATCGGTGGAGTGGTATTGAGGAATAAACCAGCCTCACATAATCCACCAGCTAACAGACACTCCACTGGTTCTTACATAGCAGGCTACCTTGGTCAGTTGGAGGACAGGGGACTTCCTGAAGGAGCCTGTACATCATTACGTTATGGAAACAGGGATCATTATGGAGATCGGTACTATACAGATGACTCTCTTCCACCTGGTGATGCCAACCACTCTGCGTCAGAGCCGGAGGTGTACTTTCTGCTTCGACTGTAACTCTGACCATAACCTTAAATAAGTTTAACAATCAAGCAATGATTCTTGATAATGTTCAATACCAAAAGCCAGAAGATCTAGGAAATGAATACACACTGTTGTTTGTTCCAATGTTCACAGACCAGTAGGTTTTCATTATAACCGTCGAATAAATCTTAACCTGGGCTTTTTCTAGAGAAAGATACGGTCTGTACAATGTAAGCGAGACCTCACATGTATTCCAGGGTTGGATCTGACAGCATGAATTTCCTGTATGAAATGTCCACTATTCAATAGTGAATGGTCTTTCTAGTCTGGCAGTCTATTGTCTATATTCTGCTTGATGTGTGTGTACTTTGGGACTTTAATTTCCTTCCAAATGGCTTCCTAGACTGATTGTACACATATGTGTTCTCTTAGTCCCTGTGATGTACTGTCAAAAATGTGTAAATTGACTATGAAGCAAAAAAAAGAGAGGGAATGTCTTTCTATGTATTATGTGAATGTGTAGTATAATCCAACAGCTACATTTAATAGATGGGGTTCCTCCTTTCAAAGATAAAATGTAAGTCTTCCTTCTCTTTTTAGTGGTATTCCTTTAATTGTGTTATGTGTTAACATTTCTGTCATTGTTTTTAATCTGAGATGGGTTTTAGTTGAGAACAAACTCTAACTGTACATTTATGTTTGTGCATGTTACCTGTGAACATGTCAAGCATGACTATGCACAAATGTATACAATAGATGTTGCATCGCCCAACATTTGCACAGAAAAAGAGTTGGATAAACAGAGGACATAGGCGTGTTTGTATTAGTTGCAATACAGTACATAAACTTCCATGCTTGGACTTGGTGTTTTCTATGATTTCCAACATTTGAAAAAGAAAAAGGATTGCAAACTATTAAACATTTGAAGTTGAAAGTTGTTATTTTATTTTATAATTGCTTTGATACAGACTGCAAAATTAAGCTCTTGTTGGTAACAGTTGTTTAATTTTATTAGAACTTGAAGAAATGAAAATACAGTGACTACAGTAACTGAGGTGAGTTTTTATTTTTTATTGTTTCAGTGTTACGCCATCCTTTTCTCTTTGTCATTTTGCTCATCGGAGGACTGTGAGCTTTTTCTTACCAATGCAATAAAACATTGAAATACTTGATTTCAACAAATTCCATGTTTTTTTCCTGTTTATCTGAAAACGCTATACACAGAACATACAACTGATAATTAGCTCAAGCTCAAAATGTATTGGTTTGAAGTCACAAACAGCCTCTTTCCCCATATGCCACCTTGGCACATAATGGGATGTAATTGCTCATGAAATTACTGTGTAATAGGGCTGACAAATGGCACACCTGTTGCTCTGGGTAAACAATTCCCAGTACTGGGTCTGACAGTGTAATATTCCTGAGAAATCTAAAAGAAAAATATACTTAGAGTTGGTTTATTCTTTCATGCTCACTTTTCAGCTCATTAAGAAAAAGAATAAGCAGCCTCCCGAAACATTTCACTTAAGGTACATTATCCCAGTTACCTGAGGTCATTCAAAATACATCATACGGTACTATCTATAGGAAAAACACTGTACACACCTACAACACCCACAACTTGCACGCTAATCACTTGCATTTTCCACTATCACTCTAGAGATGAATAATTGTGGATTGTGTCATCAGTTTTACTTCCCTGCAAAACGCTTTACACCTGTTATAAACACTCACATCAACACCTTACTTGAGCTAAATGGGGGTGTGGTTGTGTGTTAGTCAAGATACCATTCATTTAATATAGTAACCTTGTTATTGGAGTCTTTTACCAAACGAAACATGTTTCTGTTTATAGTGTCCTCTTTTCGCAGGTTACTGGCATGAGGCTATGATGTTACATTTGGACATGCAGATTTAATGGGATCTTTCTTTTGTACCAGGAACTGTTGTCCATGAGGTGTCGTTTCTTTTTAATTTGTATTCAATCTATCGTCAGGGTTGATTAAGTGGCTTTGATGTGTCTTGGATTTGCACAGACTCAATGTATTGATGCATAATCCCACATTCAGATAACAATTACCTGTATGTGTAAAATGTTCAGAACAGCTGCATCGATGTCTTGGTTCCCATGGCTTCTCACTCGGTGGCCATCCTCAGCCCTCTACCTGCTGCTTATCAGTGTAGGGGGCCGACAGACAGGGCTGGAGGTCGTCCAGGCAGTACAGTGCACCCAGTGGGCAGCAACGAGCAGCAAGAGCAATTTCCAGGATGGAGATATGGTTATTGGTGGACTTTTTAATCTATATTACACACCATCAGCTGTAGAGCAAGGATTTACCAAGCTGCCTCATTACAAACCTTGCACTGGGTAATACTGAATGTATGGTGGTTGTTTTTCTGCACATTGTCTGCATTTTTTAAATTGTCTGTCAACATCACAACTTTACAAATAATTTGTTTAACTTTTTTGTTTGAAAAAAAGTTATAGAATAATGAAACATGTTTTATCCAATTATTGATAAAACATGTTAAATGTGCATGTATCTGAGATAAGCATTTTTTTATTATAGTAAAATAATTGGATATTTTTGATTGAAAAACATGATGTTGGTATATATTACATTTTTGGACATTAACAGCTTTTACAATTCTGACCATGTTCATTCACAGTTTTTTAAATTTTGTTTACATTATTCACTATTCCTTTCTTTTCCTATGCTCTCAGTTTAGATTTAATGTCTTTAAAAAATACATATGCTATGGTGTTTGCCTTGGAGGAAATCAATCGTAACAGCACCCTGCTACCAGGAGTAAAGCTTGGCTACCGTTTACTGGATAGCTGTTTCAATTCTCTCTGGGCTCTGCAATCCGCTCTGTCACTGATCGGAGGAGACGCACACAGCTGCAACTCAACAGCCTCTACTAGTTCTGCAACTTATGATCAACCTGGAGAGAAAGCAGGTATGACTTGATATCATTTACTAAGTATTTTTTTTATATTTTAAAAACATTGTCTTAATGTATTTATTTGTGAAATGCTATCAGGTGGTCAGTCTGTTCCTTTGCTTATTGGTGCTGCGTCGTCAACAACAACCCTAATTCTTTCCCGGATCCTGGGGCCTCTCTCTGTGCCACTTGTGAGTTGATTAACCTGGAGCGATGAACTTCTGATTCACTTTTGTATGCACATCAAGAGGGAGATGCTATTTTAAAAACATTTTAATTGAAATTAAATCAGAATCAGAATCAGAATACCTTTATTAGTCCCACAGAGGGGAAATGTACATTGTTACAGCAGAAAAGAGCCAAAGACAGCTTAATGTTACCTAAGCATGCATACAAAAAGTACTAAAGATAAAACAATTAATTATAATAAAAAAGTTACACATTTTACAAAAATACACATCCTGTAACAGTTCTGAGGATTTAGTAGCACAGTTTTAACGGCACATATATATATATATATATATATATATTGCACATATTGCACATATTGCACATAGTTGGTATTTAACAACAAGAGATGTTATACACAGTAGTCTGTGTTGTTGTGAAAAGCAGTGTGAAATAATATGTTCCTACTTGTTTCTCTCAGATCAGCTACTTGGCAAGCTGCCCCTGTCTTAGTGACAGATACAAGTTTCCCAACGTCTTCAGAACAATCCCCAGTGATTTATACCAAGCCAGGGCCATGGCTCAACTGGCCATTCGCTTCCGCTGGACTTGGATAGGAGCCGTGGTTATAAACAATGATTATGGTAATTTGGCGATACAGGTGTGTATGTTTTTGTTATTACTGCATATTGTACTATAAATTGCCTGATAAAAACACTCCCACTGTTTTCTTACATACAGTATAGAATACAGATTACAAAACATGTATGCATTTTTCTTGTTTTGACCTTTAGACATTTCAGAAAGAGACTCAGGGGAAAGGGGTGTGTTTGGAGTTCATAGAGACTGTTGGCAGAGAAACTATTTTAATCGACGCCAGACGTGCAGCCCTCAAAATCCAAGCTTCGACTGCGAAGGTCATTCTGATATTTTGCTGGTATACAGATGTAAAGAAAGTATTTCTGGAACTAGCAAAGATACATGTGAGCAACTGGCATGGATTTGTATATATCCCTATGTGTTCATCACTAAAGAAATATATTGTTTGTTTAAAAAAAAATGTCATTGGATTTTAATTTGCTTTTACTGTAGGTGACAGACAGACAGTTTCTCGCCAGTGAGGCTTGGAGCACAAGTGATGAAATTCTCAAAGATCTTGCCATCTCTAAAGTGGCCAGTGGTGTTCTTGGTGTGGCGATTCGAAGTTCAAAAATACCCGGATTTGAAAACTATCTCAGGAGTTTGCACCCAACTCGTCGTCCTGATGATGATTTCTTACGAGAATTCTGGGAAATGGAGTTTGGATGCAGTCCAGGAGCTACACAATCACAGGCAGTGCCTCTGTCTTCATATTTGTCTCCACTAAAGAAATTGAACAATCGGTTAAATGTTTCTACTTTATCTCTTTCCAACAAGTCCCTTATGAAAGCTTCACTTCCACCGTGCAGCGGCAGAGAGTCCCTGGAGGAAGTGCAGAATCACTTCACTGACACCTCCCAGCTGAGGGTGGCATATAATGTTTATCTTGCTGTTTATGCTGCAGCCCACGCCCTCCACAGCCTTCTGTCCTGCCCCAACAGAGACAGCTCATCTGGAAGGATCTCCAGCTGCTCTTTTTCAAAACAGATCAAACCCTTTGAGGTAAACACAATTATACCCAAGTCCTCTTATCTGTCATAGCTCTTGAAAACAAAGTGAATATTATCAATACATGTTTTAATTAATAATTTTAAATGTCATCAGTGTCTTAAGCATTTGATACTTTCAGCTGTTGCAGAGTTTGAACAAAGTAAACGTCACCACACCACAAGGGGAAATGTTTTATTTCGAAGGTGCTGACATCCCAGCAAAGTACGACCTTGTTAACTGGCAGAACACCCCTGAGGGGTCACTCAAACTTGTTTTGATTGGTCGCGTTGACGGGTTTGACATCAACCTTAATGAGTCAGCAATTGAGTGGAACTCAGGATCGAATCAGGTAGTTAGATCAACAAGTTATCTCATGGCTACTAACATATTTGCTATTGAAATGAACGCCAGCGTTGATTTACAAGATGGCATTGAAAAACATTATTGTGCTTGTTGTTTAGGTGCCTGTGTCAGTGTGCAGTGAGAGCTGTCCACCAGGCACCAGAAAGGCAAACAGGAAAGGAAAACCTCTCTGCTGCTTTGACTGTATCCCATGTGCTGAAGGAGAGATAAGCAATGAAACTGGTGAGGGAATAACCACAAAAGACAACTTTAATTTCCCTTTTTGTGTTTTACTTTCCTTCCCTCTTTCCTTTTTCCTCTCCCAGGTTCCCTTCTTTGTGAGCGTTGTCCATCTGAGTTTTGGTCCAATGTAGAACAAACTGCCTGCATCCCTCGACAGCTGGACTTCCTTTCCTTTAATGAAACCTTAGGAATTACTCTGACTACAGCAGCTGTGTCTGGTGCAGCGGTGACAACAGCCGTGTTTGTTCTTTTTCTTTATTACCGTCAGACACCAGTGGTAAGAAACCAGAATAATAAAACAAAGATTGTTGTATTCATTTGAAATTCTTTCACATTTTTGTGTATAAAACATTAATGTATAAATCACCACCTCTTTGTCTGTAAATCTGATTCACCTCAAGGTGCGAGCCAACAATTCAGAACTGAGCTTCCTGCTTCTCCTGTCACTGAAGCTCTGCTTCCTGTGCTCTCTGGTGTTCATTGGTCGTCCATCAGTGTGGACTTGTCGGTTCCAGCAGGCAGCATTTGGGATCAGCTTTGTACTTTGTGTCTCCTGCCTGCTGGTCAAAACCCTCGTAGTTCTTGCTGTTTTCCGCTCAGCTCGGCCTGGTGCTGGAGCCTTGATGAAGTGGTTTGGTCCAGGCCAACAGAGAGGAAGCGTCTGCCTATTTACATCCATACAGGTGCGAATATTTTTGTATTCATAAAATGATAACCTTTCTAAACGTGTTGTAAAAAAATAACACTTAACTGTTTGTTTTTTTCATATAGATTATAATCTGTGCTACCTGGCTGTCCCTCAGCCCCCCTGTGCCTCAGCGTGACCTTGGTTTCCAAGGGTCAAAGGTCACCCTTGAGTGTGCCATGTCCTCAGTGGTGGGCTTCTCTCTGGTTTTGGGCTACATTGGTCTGCTGGCTTGCACCTGCCTCCTCTTGGCCTTTTTTACTCGGAAACTCCCTGACAACTTCAATGAAGCCAAACTGATCACCTTCAGCATGCTGATTTTCTGTGCGGTCTGGATAGCTTTTGTCCCTGCGTATGTTAGCTCTCCTGGAAAGTATGTTGTCGCTGTTGAGATTTTTGCAATCCTGGCTTCTAGCTATGGTTTGCTGCTCTGCATTTTTGCCCCAAAATGTTTCATAATAATTTTAAAGCCTGAGAAAAACACTAAGAAACACCTCATGGCAAGGTAGTTCGTCTGATGTCAGTCAATGTGAACTTATAACTCTTTTTTAAACATGTGGAGAAAATGGCCTACCAACTTTCCACAGCCTGGTGTCATGCAATTGTTCATGTGTAAGTGTGTCAATTCTTCAATATAATTAAAACTGTTTATTTGCTTTTATGAAATTAATAAACGCCTTTCAGCCACACATAATTATGGCTCAAATTGTAATATATAAGTTTATGTTTTCTGTTCTTAGATGTCAACAAATGTTAAGCTTACTAAGATGTTAGTTATTTTCATGGCATTTTTGTGGTTGGTTGTTCTCTTTTTCTGTTTTGAATAAACTCTTCGTTGCTTTCTCAAAAAATCTATCTTTGATAAAAATTACACCAAATGAAAATATATTTAATATACATTTATTTACAATTAATATACACACATTTAAAGTAATACATACAGTTGAAACACTAATCACTTTAAAGAAGGAATGACATAACATATGTTATGTTGATAACAAAATATACATAATTGTTCCACTGCATGTACCAAGTACCAACCACTAGATGGAAGTATAACTCCATGTCCTGATACCTCATCTCTGCATTTCTTCGTTATGGACATTTCATTGACATCACATTGGCTTGTACAGCTGTGCCACATATGTCTCATTCTCTACAGCTACTAAGAGTATTTGCCCTTAAAATAATAATATAGAGTAGCTGTGAGCCCATGTGCTAAAACTAAACAAATAATGTGTCCACTATATTCACAAAGAATAACAAAAGGAGAAAGTGATTAGGACTTTTAGAGCAGGTTGATCAAAGCACTTTGCAGAAACCAACTTTTTATATTCAACAAGCAACAAGACAATTATACAAATATGTGTTCCTGCTAAACATGTTTAAACAAAATCAGCCCCTGAATGTACCATTTAACTAGGTTTTGCAATATTTACCATCAAATCAACTTAGAAACAATGATCTTTAAATGTTTAATCCCCCAGCCAGAATATCTCTCACAAGAGTCACCTGGACTTTGTTCAGACAACATAAAGTGGTTTCAAAGGCCTGCCCTAAGTGTTTTTCTGTTGCATAATATCAATTCTGAATGAAGTATCTCTAAAGTATTTTTACCTTCCCTCCTCATATTTTCCTTCACGTTTACTTTTAACATCTATAAGGCAGATCCTGTGTAAATCACAGTGAGGATTTGCCATTAATTGCAATTTCTTTAGCAGGTTGTTTTGAATGCCCACATTGTTCACTCAGTCCCACGAGTTTAAGTTCATGTAGCTACAGAATAATAATTAATCTACTGTAAATAACAAATGCTGGTAGCAGGTGAGCCCTGATGCAAAATGAAAAACAACAAGCATGACCATAGCTTATTTCTTCCCCTCTTTGCCTCCTCTCTGCCAGTGTGTAGAGGGATGTAAGTGCTTGTAAAATGAAGAAAAAATTAAAATTAGCATTTGTACACCTGTAGTTTAAACAGTCATCTCAGACAAGATCACCTTGTAGTGTTTTAAACCAGGGCAAAGTCAGCCTTGCTTCCCCAACCCATTTCCCTTTAGGCCTACCATTGTTTTTCTGTTTAGTCCTTTACTGATACATGCCATTCTTGGTGCTATGGCCTATTGGTGACATTTAGCAAAACAAATTGGGCTAAGTTACATAGATGTAGCAGGTTCCCTTAATTTCCAGCTACACTGAAAGGTCATAATGGTGATGACTGGCCTGTTTCTTTGCTGTATAAGTTGCTATCTGCTATGTGTTGGCCATATGAACGCAAGATGCTCCGGCAGGCCTATGATGCTTATGGCTGCACTCCTGAGATGTTGGGGCTGCTTTGAAATTGGCAGAGAGTTGTTGTGACATTAATTTTTCTCTTTGGCAATAATAAGTGTATGGGTGCTCTGGAAACTTTTCCAGATATAAACACACACAAATTATCTTAGCAACAAAAACATTTTCCAAAAGGTCATGATGAACTTTAATTGAAAGAACAGAACCAAAGTGTGAGAGGTGTGGCCCTGTGGATTCATGCTCTGAGTGTTGGGAATTAAAATCTAACTCCATTGGGATATCTGCGGTCACTGCCCTCCAGGCAAATACTGTACTTTCTGTATCAAACAGCAGTCAGTCATTTTATAATTGTTTTTCTCTCACCTTTGAGAGAAGTTATTCGGTTCAGTGCCATCCTGTTTATATCATGCCACCATGGGCTTTACAGATGTTATAAAAAGACAGACCAAGATCGATGTTGTGCAGAGAAGTAGGGGGAGTTTGTCAAGTACGTATTCAGTGCAAGTGTTATCTCTTGTAATATACTTTTTGTCATTGACATGTATTTGTATTTACAGGGGAATGTCTCAATGATGCATAAAAGGGATTTAATTATATTTGAATTTCAGGAACTGTTAACTGTTTCTTATGCCTCTTTTTTATGTGTGTTGTGCAAATGAGAATCTATCTAACTGAACACGTTGTGTCCAAAACAGCTGCATCCATGTCTTGGTTCTCCTGGCTCTTCACTCTGAGGCTGTGCTCAGCCGCATTGCTGCTTCTGGTGGGCAGTCAGCTGGGGCTCAGGCTGGGATTACAGATGGTTCAGACAGTGACTTGTACACAGTGGGCTACACCGAGCGATCAGGGTCTGTTCAAGGATGGAGATGTAGTAATTGGTGGGCTCTTTAGTCTTTTTCACAATCCTCCAGCTATAGACAACGGCTTCACCGAGCTGCCACACAACAAACCTTGCACTGGGTAAAACTCTGAACTGCTCTATCTACTGTGAAAACTGTATAATATATATGCATTTGACAAAATAATCATATCAGTTCAATAGGCAGTTAACTATTATTTTTGTCTAAACATTCACATATATCTTTCTTGATAAAAGGATGTTATTATAGTTACCTCTTTAATGTTGACAGAAAAGTATCACCTATTCTTAACACAGATTACACATCTTCACAGTCACATTTGAATGATATTTTCTCCTCTATCCCTCTCATGCAGTTTGGAATATCTTCCATTACAGTATATGTATGCTATGGTGTTTGCGCTGGAGGAAATCAATCATAGTAACAGCTTGCTGCCAGGTGTGAAGCTGGGCTACCGTATTCGTGATAGCTGTGCCCTACCCTCCTGGGCCATGCAGGCAGCACTGTCTCTGGTTGGAGGAGACAGTGCTACCTGTGATTTAGCAGCTCCGCCAGAGTATTCTTCTGTGTATGGAGAGGGGATCGGAGAAAGGACAGGTACACATTAACATTGTTTGGTACTAATGAAAATCCTACTCTTATAATAATAGGCAAATGAAATGAAACTCTGCAATAATGTGTTCAAAACAGTTAAGTTATTGTATTATATCTTATAATGTCATCAGGTGATCAGCCTGTTCCTTTGATCATTGGTGGTTCTTCGTCTATAACAGCCATGATACTCTCAAGAATCCTGGCGCCACTCTCCATACCTTTAGTAGGTACCATATACATCTGCTTAGTTTAACCACAATTGAAACATTCTGATTTAAAAATGCAATTTGTTGTCTTAATGTTAAATTGTAACTTTCACAAACACTGTGGTTAAACATTTACCACATTTACCAGGAACGTTTTTTATGTTTTCTCATATTTATTTTGTTGCCCTCACAACATACACAGTCTTCTTAAGAAACACATTCTCTCTGTGAAAATTATAAACTAGTGTGTGATTTTAGAACATCTATTTATGTATATATATATTTTTTCTTTTTTATCTTTTACTGTAGATGAGCTACACAGCCAGCTGCCCCTGTCTAAGTGACAGGCTCCAGTATCCTAACTTCTTCAGGACAATGCCCAGTGATATTTACCAAGCCCGGGCTATTGCCCAACTTGCAATACGCCTAAATTGGACCTGGATTGGAGCAGTGATAGCAAACAACGATTATGGCCATGTGGCAATAAAGGTTATTCATTTTGTCCTATTATAAATGTTATGGCATCTGTATAAGACATCTGCCTAAATACAATATTTGAAACCTTTTCTCACCTGATGTTTTTTGCTCCTTTCGACTGTTTATGGCAGGTATTTCAGGAGGAGACGCAGGGGGCAGGGGTGTGCCTGGCATTCATAGAGACTCTGCAAAGGGAAAACATTGTGATGGATGCTAGACGAGCAGCCCTCACAATTCAGGCCTCAACTGCAAAAGTGATTCTGATCTTTACCTGGTACACAGATGTGAGGGAGCTGTTTCTGCAACTCGCCAACATAAATGTGAGCAATTGAAACTACATTGTGAACTGAATCTGTAAATAATAATAGCTAATCTCATTTGAGGAACATTATACCTTTTTGTGTTGCTTTCACTAGGTGACTGATAAACAGTTTCTGGCCAGTGAGGCTTGGAGCACCAGTGGTAATCTGCTTCAAGATCCTATCACTTCTAATGTGGCTAGTGGTGTTCTTGGTGTGGCAATTCGAAGTTCAGCAATACCTGGATTTGAACATTTTCTCAGAGGTTTGAACCCCTCTTTACGACCTGATGATAAGTTCTTATGGGAATTCTGGGAAATGGTGTTTGGTTGTAGTCCTGGGGCCTCACCACTCTCTACGAGTTCACCGTCTCCCACAGACCGGTTGTCTCAGAAAGCTTCACTTCCACCGTGCAGTGGCAGAGAGTCCCTGGAGGAAGTGCAGAATCTCTTCACTGACACCTCTCAACTGAGAGTGACATATAATGTTTATCTTGCTGTTTATGCTTCAGCCCACGCCCTCCACAACCTTCTGTCCTGCCCCAACAGAGACAGCTCACCTGGAAACATCAGCTCCACCTGCTCCTCTCCAAAACAGATCAAACCCATAGAGGTAAACACAACTATGTCCATTTCAAAACACATTTTAATTGAGGACATTAAGAGTAAAAGTGTTTTTCTATGTGACAAATGCAGCTGTGTAATTTACCTTTAGGTTTAGAAATATTTACTACAATTGTGTTGCTTTCAGGTGTTGCACCACTTGAACAACTTGAATTTCACCACACCACAGGGGGAAATGTTTTATTTTCAAGAGGGCAACACTCCAGCAAAGTACGACCTTGTTAACTGGCAGAACACCCCTGAGGGGTCACTCAAACTAGTTTTGATTGGACGTGTGGACGGGTTTGACATCAACCTTGACCCGTCAGCTATTCAGTGGAACACAGGATCCAATCAGGTGAAAGGAACAGGGAAATTGATCAAGGCTAAAATGTCTTTCCAGTTCAAATGTTTAGAAGAATATATTTTGTACTAAAGAATACGGTTTTACTTGTTGTTTAGGTGCCTGTTTCAGTGTGCAGTGAGGGCTGTTCCCCAGGTTTCCGAAAGGCCAACAGGAAGGGAGAACCTCTCTGCTGCTTTGACTGTATCCCTTGTGCTGAAGGAGAGATAAGCAATCACACTGGTAAAAAGAAATAACCACATAAGATATTCTTTACTTTGTAATATGATTTCAGGTCATCCTCAGTGTTCCTATGTTTCCTACTCCTCCCCAGGTTCCCTTATCTGTGAGCGTTGTCCATCTGAGTTTTGGTCTAATGCTAAACGAACTGCCTGCGTACCTCGCCAGCTGGACTTCCTTTCCTTTAATGAAACATTGGGCTTTATCCTGGCCACAGTAGCTGTGTCTGGTGTCTCTGTGACAACAGCTGTGTTTGTAGTTTTTATTTACTACCGTCAAACACCTATGGTAAGAAACCAGACTAAAGCGATAGAGAAACAGTACATTTTGTAAAACTAATTTGTAATTTGTTGTAGGACAGTATATTCACTCTGAAATAATATAATGCTGCATTGCTTGATATGCAAATATATGTTTAAAATACTTTAAATTAATCTGTTCTGTGCTGTTAATGTTCTAGCCTTTTTATTACCAATTCAATACCAATTCCTATTTGCAGGTGCGAGCCAACAATTCAGAACTGAGCTTCCTGCTTCTCCTGTCGCTGAAGCTCTGCTTCCTGTGCTCTCTGGTGTTCATTGGTCGTCCATCAGTGTGGACTTGTCGGTTCCAGCAGGCAGCATTTGGGATCAGCTTTGTACTTTGTGTCTCCTGCCTTAAAGTCAAGACCATAGTAGTTCTTGCAGCTTTCCGCTCAGCTCGGCCTGGTGCTGGATCCTTAATGAAGTGGTTTGGCCCAGGCCAACAGAGAGGAAGTGTCTGCCTATTTTCCTGTATCCAGGTCAGATTTGCAAAGCATCTATTTAATAACACGATGAAAAAATGTACTTGCATTACCCTAACATTGTAAAATGTTTTTTTTCATTAAGGTTTTCATCTGTATTGTTTGGCTGTCCCTCAGCCCCCCTGTGCCTCAAGCTGACTTGACTATTCCAGGGTTAAAGGTCACCCTTGAGTGTGCCATGTCCTCAGTGGTGGGCTTCTCTCTGGTTTTGGGCTACATTGGTCTGTTGGCTTGCACCTGCCTCCTCTTAGCCTTTCTTGCTCGGAAACTCCCTGACAACTTTAATGAGGCCAAACTGATCACCTTCAGCATGCTGATTTTCTGTGCTGTCTGGATAGCTTTTGTCCCTGCGTACATTAGCTCTCCCGGGAAATACACTGTTGCTGTGGAGATTTTTGCAATCCTTGCATCTAGTTTTGGCTTGCTGCTCTGCATTTTTGCCCCCAAATGTTTTGTCATTCTTTTGAGGCCTGAGAAAAACACTAAAAAACACCTGATGGCTAGATAATGCATCTAGAAAAAGATGGTACAGGATATAAATCCTCTAAACCAGACACTGAAACTAGAACAAGAAGATAACTCATAATATCACAGTATACATGTTTATAAGATAAGAATATCTCATAGATTACATGGATACACTTACAATGTAAACTTTTTGATTTTCCAATATGACCAATATTCTCTGTACAGCCATTGTTAGGTTATCTTAGATTTCTTTCAATTTGCATGCATTCATTATATTCATTCAGTTTTGTATTATGGAAATAAAAAAGTGACCTTACTAAAAGTGTTTTCTGTGATTTATTCTCTGTTAAAGACTGAAAGTCAGAAATGGCAGTGTAATGATGTACATTCAAGGTGTTTAACAACTAAACAATTCAGTATCTGTGCCTGATATCAACATATATGTTTGGATACTGCAATTATTAAGGGGAAGTAAAATATGCTTTATTAAATTGACCATGAGAGCTCGATGACTGCATCAAAAGATAACATGAAGTACAGTACTGCATGTTACACAGAACAAATTGAAAACTGAGTAGGGAAAGGGTGATCATATCCAGAGAAAAACAAACAGGACTTACGAGATGAAAGTTGTTCATCTAAAAGAAAATACGTTGATATTCTCTGTGAAGTGCTAAATTTTAGAGAAAAAAATCACAAATTTTGAGAAAAACAAACCACATCTCTTTACTTGGCAAGTGGTAACCTCATCACACCACAGACACCAGACCACATTGAAGTGCTTTTAGGTTGACACACATTCACTCTGGAGCCAGCGTCATAATCTTACTCAGTTTCACAAACTGTATGAAGTCAGAGGAAGGTAGGCTCTCGTCCAAATCCTCCCTTATAACCACAGGGGTTTTATTTAGGGACCATCAATGAATTACAGTTTAAAGTTGAGTTATTATCAATTTCTCCATGCTGATTTGCCAATATTAGGGACATTTATGCCACAGAAATAACATTAAATGGTTCTCATATGGCACACCTTTTTTGATTACTGACTGCTATTTTAATGAGGTACATTTTTTTTTTTTCAATGTAATTCTTTCAATTCTTTATTGAAGATTCTTTTTTTTTCAAAAGCTTCCATTTCATGTAAACCAGCTAACTCAATCAATAAGAATGTCATTACTACACTGGGAAAGCACTTTTTCTTTATCTATTTTCAATGTACATACTGGTGAGTATATCTTATAGACCACATTAGCTCCAGACATGTCAAGATAAATGCATGAAATAATGTCAGCTGAACCTACATAGTTTGAAAAGTAAAATCTAAGAAAGAAAACCATAGTTAAATCAATTGCTATGTTAAGTTAATTATCTCATTTTAAATGCAAATGTATAATTTAATAGCATCCTGTGGAAAAAATGAATACATTATTGTGTTTAAGCACATACCACCACATATGGTCCAAGTTATTTGCCATTAGCCCTGCTTTCCCAATAACTAAACACATTAGCTATTACTATCAATCTCTTTTCCTATAAAACTAATTGCAGGTTTTTATGACTCAATACCCCGACCCATGATAGCTTTCTTTGTGTTCCTCTCTGGTCTCAGCAGTATAATGTAACATTTGGGACCAAACAGTGCCATCAAGAGGCCAAAACTGGAGGCCAGGATGGCAAATACTTCTACGGCATCTGCATATTTGCCTGGGGAGTTTCTGTAAGCAGGAACAAAGGCCACCCACACAGCACAGAAGATCAGCATGCTAAAAGTGATGAGTTTGGCCTCATTGAAGCTATCTGGAAGATTCCTTGCCATAAATGCTAACAGGAAACTAAGTATAGCAAGTAATCCAATATAACCCATTAACACTGCAAATCCAACTGTGGACCCGACTACACACTCATACACTATTTTGTCATTGTAGTATTGAGTGTTTTTTTGAGGCACTGGTGAGGAAGAGACAAGCCAAGCAGTACAAATCACTGCCTGAATGGATGTAAGAAGCAAAACTGTCCCTCTCTGCTGTCCAGCACCAAACCACTTCAGACTGGCTCCACCTCCTGGCTTGGAGGCGTTGAACACAGCCAGAACCACCATGGTTTTAACAAGAATACAAGAGATACAAAGTACAAAGCTTATCCCAAATGCTGCATGTCTCAATTGACATGTCCACAGTCTGGGATGGCCGATAAACAGCAGTGAACACAGGAAACATAGCTTAAGTGATGCTAAGAGCAGGAAACTTAGTTCTGAATTGTTGGCGCGTACCATGGGTGTGCTACGGTGATGGATAAAGATTCCTACGACAACAGCACAGATAAATGTGCCGAGTAAAGAGGCGGTTGTCAAGCAGATACCAAGAGGCTCTTCATAAGTGAGGAACTCTGTTTTTTTAGGAACACAGTGGTCACGCTGGGGGCTGGACCAGAAGTCCTCTGGACAACTGCTGCACTCCATGGAGTCTGTAAAAATAAGGGAAAAGCGAACACTGACAGTTAAGTTGAATGGGCCACTAATGCCCAAAACTTTATTGCTCGCCATGCAGTGGTGGACATGTGCTTTTTTTTACTCTTGGGCATCAAGAAAGAGACAAATGTATAATCGCTGGTTTAGGATGTCGTTTTATAATGATACCAACCAGTTTCATTGCTGTATTTTCCCTCAGAACAAGCGACACAGTCATAACAGCAGACAGGCTGTCCCTTTTTTCTGGTCATGCGGCTACCTGGAGAACAGCTCTCACTGCACACGGACTGGGGTGGCTGTCAGGATTGTAAAAGTTATAGAACAGTTATTCAACACTTTTTGATTGTGTTATTGTGTGTCATAAAGTACCAAGATAAAAAGAAAAAACAATAAACAGGATTAACCTGTTTGAAGACAAAGCTCCAGAAGATGTTTTCTTCATCAAGTGTGAGTTCTTCACCTTTGGAGGCAGACTTCTTAACAACACCCACATTCTGAACATTTATTTTTCCATCAGGGAGCCACTGCCAGTTCATGATGTCATATATTGGTAAGGCATCACCATTCTCATCAAATGATACTTGATCCCCAAATGTTGTTGTAAAGTTGACCTTTTCCAAGTAATGTATAAGCTACACAGGGATACAATACAGACATACAATTTGACAAGGTGAGAACAAATATTTACTGTTGTTGATTTTGCACAAGTATTGTGATGTTCTGTACATTATGATATATTGTGGATTTAGTCATGCTGGTCTACAAGTATTATAGTCAAAAACATCAACCACTTTTGCGATTAAATAATTACGTTTGTCATAAGAAATAGAGCTTTATTTTGTCTTGTAACTTCTATGATTAAATATGTCGTCCTCTACTCAAAGACAATCAGGAGAGTATGTCTTATTTTCCTATTTCATTGAGTAACTCAAGATGAAGCAGGAGATTAAAAAAACTAAACAGGTGTAGTGCAAACTGATATCACACCTGCCATGGCTCCAGTGTTTGCAAAGCAGCACAGCTGTGTCCACTGAAAGGCCCTCTCCCTGGCACACAGCGCAGCATATCATCAAGGGCATATGCCAGGGCATATACAGCCTTGTAGATATTGTATTCTGGCCTGAGGTTTGAAACATCCAAAAACTCAGTCTCCACACTTGCTAGATCTTCCTGCCCAGTGCATAGAGCTCCCCCAGCTTCCACCCAACCTGCTGGAGGTGGTGCAAATTTACACCAAAATGTGTATTCCCAAAACTGACTTACCTGAAATGTAATAAAAACAAAGTATTAACAGAAATAGTAATTACAATTATTGAATTTACAGAAATTATTGTAAGGTAACACTCTTACCATTCTATTCCTATGATTGTTTGACTTGTCAGGACTTGTTTTTAATAGAAAATCCTTGAGCCCTGATATTTCTCCTCGACGGATGGCAATGCCCAGGGTGCCACCCAGGTACGGCATGAGGCGGGGGGTCTGGAGCACAGCTGCTGTAGTCCAGGCTTCAATGGCCATCCACTGCAGGCCTGTCATATTCTGCCTCACCACCTGTAATATATATATCTTATTTAATCTAATTTTTCAGACTGATGTATAAATAACATAGCTTACTTAATAGGAATTAATACTTAAACTACTACAAATTACATTTAAAGCAGACATTTTAGATGGGTAGATGAAAAATAGATAGAGATAAAGATTGATACTGCAAATACCTCTTTGCCCAAGTCCAGCCAAAGTGTTTCATAATCTGAAACATAGCACGCACCTGAATAAAAATAGAGCACAGGGATACCTGTTCATTTCTCACAATAAAAGAAGAAGATTTTTACCACTACACTTATTTTCTATATCAACGTAGTTATATTAAGGATACACAACGCCAACACAGTACATTTACACAAAATCACAGCTCAGTAAACTCTGTGTAAAACATATGTATTGCATTTCTAGAACATAGTTTGTTTCACCTGGAAAGCATCACTTGGGATTGTTCTGAAGAAGGATGGAAACCTCCGCCTATCACTCAGGCAGGAACATGTGGCAAAGTAACTCACCTATAAAGACATACAGTATTCACACAAGTGTGACTTTTAAAAAATTACTTAAAATCAGGGTAAATAAATAAATAATTTCAGCTATTACAAATGAACTGTTTTAAAATATGCATTAAAAATATAACTTCTACCAAATAAAGCCTGAGATTCAATGTAATATTTCCCATCCTTTCATTTTAAAATGTGAAGTATCTACACATTTGGTGCATCAAAAGAACAGCTCAAACTTACCATGGGCAATTTGAATAAACCTATCACATCAGATGTGGCGATAGAAAATGTTGACATGGAATCTCCCACAATCCCAAGGACTGGGGGGGTCCCTAAACAGGTCTCTTGAAGCAGAAACTGCTCCTCTCGACCGCTGGCTAGTGACTGAATCCAATTACAAGTGTGGCACAGTTGTCATAAAGACTGTATCCCAGAGACACATTCTGTAGCAGGTTGGGGTTTTTGTTGATCTCATCAATAGCATAGGCCATGGTCATGGCACGCCTAAACCCTGGAGGTTCAAAACTACAAAAACATTTCTAGATTAACCACAGATTGAAAAATCAATATATAATTATCAGCAAATGTTGTCTATTTCATGTGTTTGAAACTTACCCTTGGCAGCTGAGCTGATTTGGCTCTGACGTGAACGTCGGCTCATGGAAGACAGAGGTGGAGTGGACCTCAAACAGACCACCGAGGATCACATCACCAGCCTTGTGCATCTCATTAAAATCAAACTGTTTCCTTAATTTACAGGAGGAGAAAAGAGAGGAAGACTCAGACAAGAACCAAATCAAGAACAGAAATGTCTCTAGAAATGCCCCCATAATGGCCCTCCTTCCTACACCCATTTGGCTTCATGCAATGTTACCTAATTTTATAAGTAGGGCTAAGTCATGTCTTTGGTCATGCTGGTTTTCGTCATAGTTTCACACCGCCCATCGGGGCACAGGCAGTAGTGTAAGGGCAGGGCATACATATCAAACCAGATTTACAGGCAATGTGATGATGACATTATTTATTTGCTGTATTTTCTGTTAATTTCTTTGTCTGGGGTACTTAATTTGTTTGTTAATTTGAAATTAAATCTGAGATTTTCCATTGAATTTCATATTTATTGTATTAAGTATACGTTATGCTGTTAGAAATGGATGTTGGTCAAGCTCCCACACTTTTTATAAATTAACTGCAAGTACATGAAAACAGCTAAATGTATCCACCCTGTCATGGACAAAATTCAAAGATTTAATAGGCCTACATTGTAATTACATAGTGATTATAAAATGTACATTTTCAGAAAGCTATAGTCCCTTTCTACGGTAGATCCGCCCCTGCTTGACCGGTACTTGCTTTTGATCAAAGTCAATGCGAAAAACCCGCACTCACACAGGTAAGCGGAGGTGAAGGGAATGAGCACTTTTACAGCCTTTTTGGCGAGGTGGGGGAACTCGGTCTCCACAGACAGCCAAAAGTGTGCAAGTGACGTTTTCTGCCAGACGCTGTCTCCTCTTTCACTTTAGGTAACTTCGCTAAAAATCGATCCATGTTGCAGCTCGCATAAAGTTAGCTGAAGTTAACTAGCTAGATTGAACTGTTTCTCGTAATTTTTTTCTCACGCTGCGCCTCCCCTGAAGCTCTCTGGCGCCCCCCAGGGGAGGCGTGCCTCACACTTTGAAAACCGCTGGTTTATATGAAACGGGGGGTTATGTATTGTAACCCTAGGTATATAAGCACAGGCGGAGCCCTCTACTGGGACCCTATGGGTACTACTCTCTATCATGCTATGCAGGCATTCACCGAGTTGCATAAACGTAGCCGGCCAATCGGGGCGAGCCTACCTGAATGGCCCACAGTATATAAGGGGGCTACGCCTCCCGACTGTCATCCTACACCCTCTTCAGCGAGCGGCATAGGAAAGACAGGGCCCCCAGGTAGAGTGCTCCGCCTGTGCTTATATAACTAGGGTTACAATACGTAACCCCCTGTTATATATCACACAGGCTCCGCCCTCTACTGGACTCTATGGGTACAGTGGGTGGAGCCCCGATGTATAAACGCCCTGTCGTCCAACAACATCGACCCATCACACTGCCCCTGACCGGCCTTTGGTTAACAGCCACCGCACCCCCACTTCCTCCCATCCGGTTGTGACCGTGGAGAAGTCGGGGCCGCAGCTTGGATAAGGCACACTCACACACGCTTACCTCGTGTAGAGTGTGCATAGAAAAAATAGTGTGGAAGACTCTGTATGGAGCTTACTGCGCATCATGTTCCCCAGGTTCCTAAGGAGCATGGGAAAAACATAAGTGCACTCTATCAGCAACCTACTGACCCACACTCCCCCCCCTCTCACCAGTCATGTGTTGCCCCGGCAAGCACAGACGACGAGAAGGAGCCAGACATGTCCAAGAGATAAAACGTTATGAAGGGGCCGCCGTGCATATATCCTCCACACTCACGCTGTTGAATAAGGCTGTTGACACAGCCATAGCCCGCGTAGAGTGTGCACGGACCCCAGTGGGGAGGGCTCTCCCCGCCCGTCCATAGGCATGTGTAATGCACTCGCAGAGCCATCCTGTCAGACGCCTCTTGGAGAGAGCTTTTCCAGCCACACCATCCCCAAAGCACACAAACAGCTGTTCAGTGAGCCTAATGGCAGCCGTGTGCTCTACATAACATGCCAGCTCATCGCAGCCTTTTGGAGGGCGAGTCGCGTTTAACCCGAAGCTCCGACCGACGCGATCATAAGGCTACAGATAGCAAAGAGCTTTGAATAACCAAATATTGATAGCTTAGCTTGGCTTCTGCTCTTAGAGTAGTAGCCTGCGCAGCGAGAAGATCAAAAAGGACTGAACTCGTTGACAACACCGGAACTTATGCTTTTCCGGAGTCATGCGAGGTCACACGTGATTTTGTTGACATAAATACTCAACTTGAATCACGTGGAACTTGTGTGCAAACATCCCGACCACAGCTGTAGTCTTTAACAAATGAACAATCGTTGTGAATATATAAAGTATACATTGCATGTTACACAATGTAAATAGTTAATTTATATACAGTATATATATGTTAAGAGCATATTTATTTGACTAATCAGACAAGTTGAAAATATTTTTACATTTTAACAAAGTTTTACTTTAAGAATGATATCATTTCAAATACACAATATAACAATACTAACGATTTTTAACATGTATTTCATAATTCAAAAGTATCTTTAGAATTTCATGAAAGATTATTTCTTGTGTTTACATTCAGCACAGTAAGATTTTCTTCCTCAGTATAAATAACGCATCATTTGTACACATGTGTGAAACGTACACTTTTCAGCTGAGCTATTGTGGCTCTGAATAATGTCTGCAGAGAAAAGACAGATATGTGTAGTGCACCTAAAACAGCCCTACTATAACCACATAACAAGGTTTTTGCATTTCATTAAGATTAAGGATGAGGGACAACAAAGAAAAAGGAGAACAAAAAGACAAGGTAGATACACATGAAAATGATGTGTCTAATGGCCTCCCCGCTCACATCTGATTCTATTCTTCATATAAGATTACTTAATTTTATAGGCAAGGATATTGTATGTTGTGCCACCCATCAGGGAACAGGCTGGGGGCAGGACAAAGTACACCTTTTAATTAATTATGTTAGTTTAATAAAGTAAACTTTACAATAAATGCTATGTCATATCAGCAAATACATTATTTGTTTCAGCAAATAAGTCTATAACCATATATTTTATTTTTTATTCTTAAGTTTTCTTCATGGAATAATGAACACACCAATATCAGTGTTTTTTTTATGAAAGCAACATAGAGAAGCTAGAACATGCAATAATATAAAGGGTTTCAATCTAGGAATAATAGTTGAACAATCCATTCGTGTATATGCACATGATATTTGATCTGTTCGTCTCAAATGCAAAAATGCTAAATATGATAAAGGAAAGGTGTACAATTCAGATGGTAAAGTAAGAGCAACCTAGGCTGAGTTATGATTCTTTGCTTAGACAATGGTATCTTTACATCAAACTGTCATATATTTGCTTGTGTTATTGCATTAAAACACAGGGAATGAAGGGAATAATAAAGGAATAATCAGTTTTACCCAGACATTTAATTATTTATGAACATGGTATTTTCAATAACATACCAATTACTATGGCCTTTGGTCCACACCCAAACAGCTTCTAAGTTCATTGAACATTAAAGGTCCCATGTCATGGCCATTTCTACTGATCATATTTCCATTGCTGAGGTCTACTAGAATAGATTTAAATTGTGCAATTTTCCAAAATTGCATTGGTTTCTCATACAGCATCTCTGTATAGTATGTGTATTCACTCTCTGTCCTAAACGGCTTGTTGGAGCTCCTGCCCCCCCCCTCCCTGTGAGCCCAGTGTGCTCTGATTGGTCGGGACGTTGCAAGCTCGTTGCTGCGAGCTGCTGCGAGGAGCGGACAGATTTTCGGGTCGGCGATACAGCGAGAACAAGCGAAACTCATCCTGAGCACACACAAACACTCACAGCCGAAGTAAAAACAATAAGTGTGGCTTGATATTGAGTAAGAAAAAGGTTTATAACGCTGTGAGAATGGGTTTGCGGAGAGCATTTCTCCGCGATCCCAACTCGTCTATTACCAGCGTTCAGGGAGCTCTATGCAAGTCAATGGGGACTCCCTGTTAGTTAGCCAAGGGTTCTATTTCGTATAAGGCTTCACCCTCTAAGGCTATCGCTATTGGGTAATCCCACTGCACGTGTGCAGCACTGACAGACTTAATCCACGCCCACCTATGACGTGGGCCCCACCTTCGGCCTCACTTCCGTATAAATAGGAAGTAGGCCCGACCATCTGCTCCCATTTTTCTTCAGCACTCCGTTGCAGAAGCACTGGCGCACAGACAGCGGAGAGAGGACGCTCTCGCTGCTGCGGCCGAGGATGATTAGCTAGTCCAGGAGTCTTACTCCGTGGACCAAGCCCTTGATTTATGGGATCCGAGTGGCGGGCAGCAGTCAGGCGACTCCTTCCCCTCCATTCACGGATCACCATGGGGTTCCCCCGGCCCCATCCTCCCTCTCCTCCGGATGGGGGAGACAGGGCGGGGGCTCGTGTCAGCCCGACATATGAGTTACGACCGGCTGTGGCTGGCTCGCTCCAGGGAGAAAGGAAGCGGCTTTACACAGACGATACAGGTAAGTACTGCCGGGGATGGGAGCACGCAAACGCGGCTCTCACTCCCCAGGTGTCGTGCACTCATTGTGTCCGTCTCCCTCTGGCCCACAGACAGCAGAGAGCGGACGCTCTTGCGGCTGCGGCTGAGGATGATTGGCTAGTCCAGGAGTCTTACTCTGTGGATCAAGCCCTTGATTTATTGGATCCGAGTGGCGGGCAGCAGTCAGGCAACTTCTTCCCCTCCATTCACGGATCACCATGTGGTTCCCGCGGCCCCATCCTCCCTCTCCTCCGGACGGGGGAGACTGTCAGCCCGACAGCCGAGCCTATGGGTTCGGCTGCCGGGCTGACACCGGGTCACCGGGTCCCTCTATCCGCCATCTCGGCTCTGCCGTATAGGCGGTATTCTCCAGGAACTCCCGGAGATCATCGGAAAGGCAGCCGCCAATGAGATCTCCCCGTTCCCCCGGTTCAGGAGAGCTCTCCTCCAGATGACATAAAAAAGCTGTATAAGCGGCTGCCTCATAGCCTGTCGGTTATTAGGCAGCAGGGCTCGCGG